AGATCACAAGTTCAAGCCCAGCTAGAACAATTTAATGATGTAGCAAGAACCTGCCTCAAAATAAAAAATAAAAAAGGGGCTGGAGATGTAGCTCAGTATAAGGTCCTGGATTCAATCCCTGCCTCACCCCCCCCCCCCACAATGAGAGACATTTAGCATGTGATGACATTTGGGTGGAAGTTGGAAACGTTCATAACATATAGAATCACCAAGTACAGAAATGTCAGCATCTCAAGGTGTAATGCCGGCAAGATCTTTAGAAACCATCCAATTCATCCCTCCCCGCCTCCCTATACTTCACTGAAGGGAAATTGAAGACCAGAGAGGGGAGGAAATTTGACCCAGTCACACAGAATGCTTGACAGAATCATGACTAGAATGTGAGTCTCCTGGCCTCCCTGATGGTTTTAGTACAGGCCACTTTCTGGGGAGGGAGTGCAGTGGGAGACAGGAGGTGGGGAAGGGGAAGAGGGGCTGGGCCTGGGGACAGGCAGACAGAGGTATGTGGGGCCCAGCTGCCTGCTGATAAGAGCCCCCCAGTGCCATTCCTAAGGGTTGTTTTATCAAGATGCGATTTTCCCACTGCAGAGCTATTTGCTTTCTTGTGCAGGCTGTGCTGGCCTTCATGATAAGGCGCCTAGACATGTTCACACTGAGGCGGCCAAAACATGAGGCAGGAGGCAAAAAATTCCCTTCTGAGTCTCCCCCCAGCCCAGCCCACTCCCCCCATTTCCTCTCATTCTCTCGAGTTCTCATGCCCCCACCCCCAGCTGGCTGGCCTCTTCCTGCCTGCCAGTAAGTTCCCCAAAGGAGCCAGGAAGGTATGTGGCCCAGGGGAGGTCAAAGGAGAGAGCCGTGGAGGGGCCTCCCCCAGAAAAAGAGGACCAGACCACAGGCTGCCCATGACCTCAAGAGGCAGGGAGGACATGGGGGGCACACTGCTTTTAGCTTTGCCCTGGAGCCCTCTCCCCCCACCCCACAATCTCTGCAAACAGATTGCAGAGAGCATTCTGGTTTGGGGTTTAAGCTGGAGGTGATTAAGGCCTCCCCCAGCCACAGATTCTCCACTTCCTAAACCCCCACTCCTGACCTCCTAATCCAGAGCTTGGTGACTTCTGAGGGAGAAGGCTATGCTGCCTGTTTTCATCTAAGAACTCCCAGATAGAAGAGATCTGGCCTGATAGGACATCACAGAGGTCCTGACCCAGCAGATCCACTGCTCATTGTGGGACTGGTCCCTTCTGCTCTCTAGTCTGCAGTTTCTCCCTCTGCCTACCAAGGGGGCTGGACTCAGATCCTGGCCTTTGAATTCCACCTCTGGTTTTTTCAGAAGATGATGTTCTTTCCCAGGCTTCCTGGGTACTTGGCACATTGACTGCATGGCCCCCATGTATGAGTGCCCCGCCCCTGCTCTGCTCAGGAAGCCCACCCCACCCTCTGCATCTGGATAGAATTTACCCCCCAAAGCAACTCAATTACCGGTGATCTGATCAGGACGGCTCATGTGTCAGAGGGGGCCCTGCTGGAGGTTGCATTGCCAGAGATGAGGTTCCTGCGCCTGGGATCTGCCCTCTCACAGCCCGGGGTGCCTTGCCAAGACCCCTGGGGAGATGGGGTCGGTGAGCAATGTCCTGCTCTGGCTCAGGCTCCCCACTCAAGGGCAGAGTCAGGGCATAGAGGCTGGAGGGTAAGGGGAGGCGGTGTGTGAATGTTATACCACTGACCCCACCAAGTGCCTGGCGAATGGCGTCTATGACAAGTGATGGCCCCATTTTCCCACCCTGAGCCTTGGCGAGGAGCCTGCATGGTCAGGCTGCCACAGTGAGGGTTTAGAGACCTACTGCTGTGTCTTAGTACACCTTCCGTGGAAAATCAAGATAAGCCCACTGTCTTCCTGTGACTTTTGCTAGGCTGGTGAGTGAGGGACACTTTGGGGTGGCCTCTAGCTTCAAGTCTCCCCAAACCCCTCTTATTGGGAGCTGTTTCTCAAGGACTGCTTTCCTGGACATTGGCCCTTTTGCTTGTCCCCACCCTTCATCCTCCAGACAGGAGGATCCCTGAGCCCAGGGTCTCTAGGTCCCAGGGAACTAGGCAGATCAGGTGTCTCATCAAACTTGGCATCAATATAATGAGCTCCTGGGAGAGACACCAGGTTGCCCAAGGAGGGTGAATTGGCTGAGATCAGAAACAGCTGGTTAAAGCCCTTATGCTCATCTTAGTGGGATCATGCCTGTGAATCCCCACTGCCCTCCAAATGACATGCCACACTCACAGTGTACATGCATACATGCACACTGACACACGCACTGCCTCCTTCCACCCAAAAAGCTAACCAGGACCAGGACCAGTGTTTAGCTCATCATATATTCACTAATGACAACTCAGAGGAAAGTACTGTGGTTAGCTCTGCTGCAGGGAGACAGGAAAACCAGAGGCTGAGCCTCATGCCCCCTGGGGTTCATGCTATCACAGACTAGAAAACGCAGACACCAGAGCCTGCCAGTGCAGCAGGCGAGCATGGGCTAGAGTCCACAGCCACGGTTGGATTCCAGCTCAGCTGCAAACAGGCTGGGCACTTTGGTGAGCAGTGTAGCTTCCTGCCCAGCTCCGAGTGGTAGTCAGTGGTGAGCAAATAATGTACACAGAACACTTACCATGGTACTGGCAGAGCCCGAGTACCACCAACAGCAGTAGTATTATTTTATGAAAAAACTGACTTCAGGACAATAGCCCCTTGCTCTGGAAAAGCTTCCTAATGCAGAAAACAGCCTGGAACTTACGGGAACCCCCCTTCTGGAAAGGCCTCTGAGCTTCAGCAGTAGCTTCACCACACCCATGCACCAAAGCTCCCGGCTTCCCTCCCAGCAGGCTGATGACAGGGGTAAAAGAGGTGCACAGGTGGCGGTGTGGGGCGGGGGTGGGTTGATGTGGGGAAGAAGTGGAAGGCTGAGATGGGGAGCCAGGTCACATGGTCTTGAATGCCCCCCAGTGCATCGGTTGGCCGGTACAATGGGAGCTGCTGTAGCTTCGAAGCTGGGGTGTCAGGATCAAAGGCTTCTTGAGGAAGCTGACTCTGGGGCCAGACGCAGTTACACTGAGGGGCACCCATGGGCCAGGAGACCAGTCAGGGCCTGTTGGAACCCAGACGAAATTTAATGCCAGGATCCATGCACAACATGAAACTCCAGACAGGGAAATCACCAGGTACTGGGCAAAGCCCCTCTCACATGTTTTTCATCATATGAGCTTCTTTATTCAGTGAGCCAGTGATCTCTGCTTTGAGGAGAAGCACCGTGTCCTTTGAGAGGGGACCTCTGCAGCTCACTAGAGGCAGGACAAGGGCTCCAGCTCCCACACCAGTGCCCCTTCTTCATGGAGGCTGTGGGGTGTTCTTCCTGGCAGGGTCAGGAAAGTGACCAGTATTAAACATAGTGGTAGATGGGCCTGTACAGTCTTGGACTCAGGGCCGGGGACCAGCCATGAGTAATCCATGGAGGGCCAGGCACACCAGAGCTGGAGTCAGGAAGCCTGGCTGGAGGCCCAGCCATGTCACTCACTGCTGGTGTGACCTGAGGAAGCTCCAGCCCTCTCTGAGTCTCAGTGTCCCCAGTGGTGATGACCACGGTATTGACTGCAAAGTGTTTCTGCAAAAGGCCCCAGAGCAGAGGCCTGTGAAGGTGGAGGCTGAGGTTTCTGGACTGGGAGCACGGGGAGTAACTCTTGCAGCACCACTGCTCGGATCAAGCTTGGCTGGGTAGGGAGTCCAATGGCATTGTCACAATGGGCTGTTAGTCATTACTATGGGCACCTCCTAAGTTTCAGGTGCTGTGCTACTTGACTAAATGCATGACGGGACAGTTGGTGACAAGGGCCTGGTTCTAACAGGAGTGGCCAACTGAGGCTACCTCTGCAGGATGACCAGACATGCTGGGGACACTGTGAAGACCAGGAGGAAGGGACCCTGGCCAGAGGGAGCTGGAGCCCAGCTTAGAAGTAAAGACAGACTGGAGCACAGCCTCGGAAGACCTGGGTTCAATTTTCTGCCCTCAAGTCATCTTGCTATGTGACTGGGAAGGCTCTGTTTTCTTCCTGGAGGACAGATGGAGGGCATCCAAGGACTGGGAGTGGGGCTGTCAGAGAGGCAGGCTCTCACACCTGAGGCCTCCAGGCCTGTCGGGATCTGCCAGTCTGAAGGGGATTTCCTGGGGCCGGCCCAGTTCTCAGCCCTCTGACGTCATCCTTGGATGGGCGCCCAGAGCACAGCTCTAGTGGGAAAGCAGGCAGGCACATTCGCAGCCCACTTGTCGTCCATCCCTCAGGGTGGCTGGGGTCTCCCTACTCTTACCTTCCAGGTGAGGACGTGGGGTGTCCATACTGTTGAAAGAAGAAGCACTGCCCCCCCACCCAAGATCCTGATTTGTCTGCTGTGTGACCTCAGGCAAGTCCCTGCCCCTTTCCGGGCCTTGGCCCCTGTTTCAGCAGTGAGGAGGGCAGATTACCAAGCCCTTTTGGAACTCTGGCATGCTGGGATCCGAATGGGGCTGGGGCTCCTGGGAAAGGAATCAAGCTGGAAGGTTGGGTCCCAGGGGCTTGCTTCCCACACAGAGCAGAAGGGATGGGGGCATGGTGGGGGGAGTCGTGTAGAAGAAAAGGAGCCCCAGGCCTCCAGGTGGCTCCAAGAGGGGCAAGGCTGGCCTGAGGTTTTGGAAACATATTTATTTTTAAGTGTCCTGTGTCACTGGGGGCTTTTTCTTCGGGGTTTGAAATGCTCCAGAAGTCGGCACTCTGCATGTGTGTGTTTGCTGAGCAGAATATGGGCTGTATTTATTCATCCTTTAGCCTGAGCCCTTAAAAATATAGACGGCTAATGTCTTCAGTATGTATGAAATATCCCATATGCTCGGAAACAAAAGGGGCTCTGTTATTAAAGTTTCATTTCCACACGCCCCCTTCCCTCCTCCCCCGCCCCTGACACCCTGCCCTCCTTCCATCCCATTCAGCCTTCTGGAGACAGAGCTCGAGGGAGGAGACTGGCGGGCAGCTGGGCAGCTGGGCAGCTGTGGACGGAGGCCGGGCACAACACAACCAGACTCTGCGAGAGTTGGTGCCAAGTCCAGCTCCAGGTGAGGGGATGAGCAAGAGGAGGACGGTAGGGCCTACCAGGGAGAATGGGCAGTGGGGAATGGGCAGAGGTGGCCCTTCTGTGCGCTCCTAGGGGGCTGGGGCCCTGGCAGAGCCCCGCTGTCTGGGATGGAGATGCCCGCTCTGCTGCTAACTGAAACCACATGTGTCTCCCAGGCAGCAGGACAAGGATGCCGCCAAGCCTGGGGCTCGGGACAGGGAGGAAAGATGCGGGCTGGCCCACTGTGTGCCCGGGGGTGAGGCACTGTGAAGAGGCTCCGGGTCGTGAGCGTCTGTACCAGTGAGTGTGTCAGAGTGTGAGTGAAAGTCTGAGTGCTGTGAGTGTGTGCTCGTGCGTGTGCCCATCTGCAGTGTGGGGGAGCGTCCCTTCTCCCAGGGCTGATGTGGCCTCTCTGTCACCATGAGCTCAGTAGCCTGTTGGCTGCCACTGGGTGAGGAGAAACCTGCCGGGTGGGACAGGTCATTGTCTTCTCCACCCATCCTGCCTTCCTCCCTGCCTTCCTCCCGCTCCGGCCAGGTTCAGTCTTCTCTCACCTGAGGAACCTATACCCACTTCCCAGAGGGTAAAGGAGAGCAGCAGGGCAAGGGGTAGTAACAAACGCTTCTCCCATGTCTGTTCCCTCAGCAGTCTCCTCCCCATCAGGAGCTGGCATCCTGGGAGGTGAGAAAATCAAGCCTGAGCAAGGGGACACCTTGGGAGACCACGGTGGGGCTGTCCAGACCCATCCATGGCTCAGAGGACCCCTGGGATGAGTGCTTAGCCTGGGGGACAGGCTGGAGGCTCCCCTGTCAGGTTCTGTGACAAACAGGGTCACTCCTGAGGGTCTAGGTGACCTGAGTCTGAGGACATTTCTCCCTAAAGAATGAGCTTTGCTGAGAGAAAGGTGTGGGCTCTAGGGGGGCCCTGGCACTGCCTTTCTGTGGCTGTTGGGCTGGCTTCTCCCACTTCCAGGCCTCAGTTTCCTTATCCCTAGGGTGACCGGATTGGCCCTGAGTAGTGTTCCAAAACCTGAAGTACATGCCTCTGGCAGCTCCTGCCACAGGGCCCTGTAGGCTACTAGTTTTCACTTCAGCAAGAATTGTGTTTTATTTTTACCTACATTAGGGAAAAAATACATAAATAGCATATCAAACCAGAGAGTAGATTGAAGTAAAAATATACTCTACTCAAATAAAAATTGGGACCAATAGAAGATCCCTTGGGTCCTGTGCATTTTGGCAGTGGGCTCTCTTTATGGCTCTACTATTTCTTTCTTTTTTTTTTTTTTGGTACCGGGGATCAAACTCAGGACCTTGTGCTTTCGAGGCAGGCGGTGGAACCACTGGGCTAAAACCCCAGCCCTGCTTCTACCATTTCAAATGCTCTTTGAAATGTTGGTTCTGGCTGTCTAGGGCCAGAAGATGTGACCTGCTATGCAGACTGTCTCTTGGCCTCCACAAATCAGCAGTCCTATAATTCTGTGATTACAGATTAAAGAGCCCCGTTGCCACTTGTGAGTGTGTGGTGTATGCTGTGTGTGAAGGGGCAGAGGATGGGATGGGCAGAGCTGGAGAAAAGATCAGCCCATCCCAGGTGGGGGTTGGGAGCTCAAGGTCAAAGGCAGGGAGTTGGGAAAGAGGTGTGCCACGAGTGACATTCATTTTCAAGTGCTTTGTCTGGTCTCAGCCTCACTTTGAATTGCTGGGGTGAGCAGGAAGTTGAGAGGCCACCCTGCCATTCAGCCCTGGCGCCCAGACCACTTGGCTGTGATTTATCTGTCAGGCCAGGACTGGCCCTAGGTGGGCATACTGGGAGGGTGCAGGGGCTGTGGGGCCCCTTAGCAGAGGACCCCAGTCACCTCTCCAGGCTGAGTTTGAGTTCTCTGCTGCTGTTACTACCCAGGTGGCCATTGCTGACATGTGACTTCGTTGGCGATTTGACTCATCACCAGCTCTTAGGGGAGCTCTGCTCTGTTCTGTTATAGGAAATGCAACTTCAGGGACTGTGTTTTCCTTGGCTGAAATGGACAGAGGGTACCAAATTTTGGCTCAAAGATGTGGGCAGCATCTTTGGGTGTGAATAAATTCATTATCCACTTCTTTCCTCCCAGGGAAGCAGCGAGTGCAGAATAAGGGGCCCAGAGCTGGATTTATCTGGACCTTTCCATTATCATGCTATGTGACCCTAGTCAAGCTCCTCACCCTCTCTGGCCCTTCTCTCCAGGAGTCATGTCTTTGCTGAGACTGAAATGATTCTCTAACTCTGCCCTAATGTGGAGCAACAGCCTGCTTCTAGGGATTCTTGTTCCTCTTGAATAGTACCTTTTCAGAAGGAAGAATGTTATGAGTTTGGGGTTGGGCTCCTTGAAGCAGAGAAGATCCAGATGTAGTCACCTATACTCTGTAGTCCAGGTTCCTTTCAGATCCTGGCCAGCTGCCTCAGACCTGAGGAAGCAGCTAGCTGGGGTCAGGGGCACAGTCCCTGCCTGCAGAGCTTAAGACAGCCAACCAGCCTTCGGTGGCCTCGTGAGTCCTGTTGAACCACTACCAGCTACACCCAAGGCCAAGGACAAACATCTCTGCTTCATGATGCCCTGAGCCGCTGCTTGGGAACTGTCAGAGAGCTCTGCCTGCCCGGGGAGTGGGAAGAGGCCCTGCTCACCTGGAAGAGCAGCTCCTGTCCTAAGAAAATTTCTCCTAGAAAATGAAACTCTTCATTTTACCACTGTCAGCTTAGGTAAGTCCACCTTGGTGGGCTAACAATGGGGTTCAGATGGAGGCAGAGGATTCAGGTCTCACTAGCTTACCCCACCCCACAAGTGATGTCCATTTGTCCAAATTTTGGCTCAAAGATGTGGACAGCATCTTTGAGTGGGTATGCATTCATACCTCCAGCCCCTTGAGGAGGCAGCAGGTACCGGGTTAGTGTCTGAGACACTTCCTTTGATTTCACTGAGATTTCTTTTTCCTGGGTTTAGTAAAGGCAGTTTGGAAGTGGCAACCAAGAGGTTTACCTGTAGAGTCACATCCATGTCTGCTGGTGACAGTTTCAACTTCAGGCAAGGGAAAGCTGAGGTTTGCTGTGGGCTTAAAGAAAAACTCAAGCAGAATGGAATCGGGGAAATGAGCAGAGTGTTGGCCAGGTCTCTGCTTGTCTTGGAGCTCTACTTTCCTGACCTGGAACATGGGTTGTCGCGAAGACTCCCAAGGTGACAGCTGCCGCTGGTGCTGGGTACACAGTGGTACCAGGCACACCAACAACTCCGATGACTGAAGGACAGGGTATTGTCAGAGGGGAGAACAAGACACCAGGAGCTGTGCCCTGTGATAAGGGAAGGACAACAAAACTTTCCCTGTCCCTGCCCTGCCCTCACTGGCTCTGCGACCTCAGGGGGGCGGACCCTGAAATCTCCCGAGTCTCTGTTTTCTTTTCTGAATGACTGAGGCATGGTGGCACCTACCTCACAGGCTGGCTGTGGAGACCAGGTGAGCAGCCTAGGCTCCCGGCGCACACTACATGCTCAGTGAGTAGCTCACTAAATGAATGGGAGCCCTGGAGGCCTTGGCCCCTCAAACTGATCCCCTCTGAGAGTCCTTCTAGTCTCCTGTTGGGGCTACAGCTGTTGTAAATGGTAAGGTCAGTGACTGGGGCTGTGGGAAGCCTGGCAGGGCCTTCCCTGGGCCGGCCTCCAGTCTTGTCACGAGCAGTCCCCAGACCACCTCTTGGAACCTTCTGCTGTAGAGTGGTGAGGGTCACAATGGTGCTCTTCATTATTGTTGACAGCAGAATAGAGGGATGGTTCCATACCTGAAAGATAGTAAGAGAAACCAGGAAACTCAGGAAACTGATGCTCCGAGAGGGAGGGCTCGTGTGGTCAGGGACTGCAGAGGTGGAGGGGAAGGTTGGAAATCTTGGGGAGGCGGGAAGCCTTCCAGGGAGAGAAGGAGGTGCCCGGGTTCCAGTGGAGCAGGAATGGGTTAAAGGGACCAGGAAGGAGAGGAAGAGTACAGTCAGGGGCCAGGGCTGCAGCTCCAAGCTCAGGCGTTTGTCGGCAGAGCCTCCTCCAAGCTCTGCGGATGGATGCCACACCCCAACCACGAGGACTTGTAACATACATGCACCCACACAGATGCACATGGAGATACACAGACACACACTCTGAGACACAAACATATACAGACTGCAAAGACACAAACAGCTACAGCCAGGCACACAGACACACAAACATACGCAGCAACATGTGTGGATGTACACCCAGAGACACACATCCATATCCAGGTACACACACAGCACACATATACACAGTCATATAGTCACAGAGAATCACAGTTACACAGATATATGCACAGATACTACACATACACATACACAGGGAGGCAGAGATACACAGATACTACAGACACAGTACATATACATACACACAGGCACACACAGATGCACATACAGACAAACTCACACAGGCAGACACACACACTTACACACAATGCACACATGCCTGTAAGGACCCATATACAGACAGCCATACACACACACAGACACTTAGCAGGGTGGCTGCAACCTGGAGGGCAGATGCGGGAGTGGGGATCTGTGGCTCCTTCCCACTCACGCTCCTGCCTCACCTTGGCCCAGCTTCTCCCTGCAGGAGCAGAGCACCGACCCTGCATGGAGCTCCTCCCACTTGCCAGGCTGGGTTCTCAGCTCTCATCTTGTACTAACTGAATCTCACAGCCCCCTGTGAGATGGGCACTGTAATCGGCCCTGACTTGCAGATGGAGAAACTGAGGCTCAGAGAGTAAAAGTCAACTGCCCAAGGGTACACAGTTTGTTTCACAGCTACTCCACAGCCGGTCGCTGGAGTGCAGAGCCCTTAGGGACAAGGTTCCTGCTCTCACCCCTCCATGGCCATGACCTGAGAAGCAACAGGGGTTTCTCTTTCTCGGGGTGGGGGGCTGCCCACGGTCACAAAGTGAAGGAGTGAGCAGGGCTGCGAGGCTCAGTGCTGAGCAGAGGCCTAGCACAGGGAGGCCGGCCTGTCAGACCTGCACAGAGAAGCTCGGCACCTTGGCCTCCTCCCTCAGTGTCTTCGGTGGCCTGCCTTCCTCCACTGCCTCCAGACCCTGAGACTGCACCTCTACCCCACCTTTCCCATCCTGCCTTCTTCTCTCCACCAGCCCGGCCTCAACAACGGTGTCCTGAGCTGCCTTCATGGTAGATTTGGGCAGCTGTTGACAAAACGTATTTCTCTTCCATTATTTTAGTTTGGCCTGCGTGTGTGGTGGAGGAGGGGGTTATTTTCTTCTTTTGTTAGGTTTGAGCCTTGGCTTCTCTCATACTAAGCCCTTGCCAGCAGGGGGCCAAACTAACTAAAATATTTATCAGGTCCTCCAAATGCACAGGTATAGAATGTGGGAGATGTGGCATAAAACTAGCCCTTGTACAGTGAGGTCTTTATGGAGCATGAGCATAATCAGATCCAGCAGGGATGTAGCTGTTGAAAGAAAAACAAACAGACCAAAACAAATCCAGTGTTAGGCTGCATTGATAAATGTAGAACGCCCCCAAATGAAGGAGATGATGGTCTTTCCATGCTGTCTAGGTCTGGTTTTCCTGGAATGCTGTGTTCCATTCACTTCTGAGAAACTGACAGAGTGGGCCAAGAGCAAGGCTGGGAATGGGCCTGAGAATTCTTTCTGGTGTGGAACTGGTGAAGGTCCCAACGTCAAGCTGAAAGGAGGGGATAGAAGAGAGGGGCAGCTTGTTGTGTCTATCCTCAGAGAGGAGGTAGGCCAGCAGCAGTGATGGGGGGAGGAGCTCTTAAGGGGGAAAGGTCATCTCTGTAGAAAAAGGCTTTGAAAGCTGGAATGAAGGAGCCACCTCTGAAGAAAGTGAGTCCCCAGTATCACAGACATGGGCTGGTGCCCGAGGAAGGGATGCCAAACCAGCCAGACCCTTCTGCTCCCTTCTAGTCCCAACATTTGAGTGCTGTGCGTCAGTGGCTCCTGGCTTTTTCCATTCTGGCGCTGAAGATGACAGTCCCTGGGGGAGACCCGGCCACATCCTGCCAGCTCTGGTCTCTGCACTCTGCACAGCCTCTCCCCCGCTGCACCCTTCCTCTGCCAGGACCAAGGCACAGTGTCTTAGATGGGGAGACCCACGGACTTGCCAGAGTTTGAGGCAGACCTTGGTGAGTCCCTCACCCAACCCCTTTAATTATGGAGAGGTCCAGTAAACTGAGCAAATGAGGAAGGCTTGCTCAAAGCTGGTGGGCTCCTAGCAGGTGGCAGATTGTGATTTTAGCCTGGACTCAGTCTCCAGTCCTGGGCTTCATCTCACCAGCCTGCTGGTGGACTGAACATTTGATTCCCCCTTCAAGGGACTGCCAAGAACAATCAGCCTGGTCTTTTCCGGAAAATACCTCTCAGAGTTCCTTGTTCAAGACCTGGTCATGTGCACTTATTGAGGAACCACTAGATGCCAGGCATTCAAGTGGCTAAGGACACAATGACTGCCGTACTAGAGGAGGGAGTAACAGTCTCCTCCTGCCTTGTCACCTTCAGAGCACTTGTCATTTTCTGAAATTGCCTGACATATTCATTCATCTATGATCTTGTAGCTTTCCACACCCTGCCCATACTCCCAAGCCCCAAAGAGTCCTTTGTCCCCACTGGACTCCCAGCTACCAGAGGAGCCCCAGTGTTCTAAATTTACTGGTGGAATGAATGAATGGGGAGGCAAACTGCCAACCCCGAGGAGCTGGAATAGCCACCAGTCCTTTCTGAGCCTATCCTTGTGCCGGGTGGTGTCAAGTGCTTCTCCTTCACCACCTCACTTCACCCCACACCATGTTGGGGAGTGCACTCCTTGGCCTCATTTTACAAAGCGCAAGTTGAGGCAAAGAAGCGGTGAAGTAGCTCCTCTCAGCTCTTGTCACCTGTTGCCTTGTAGTATAGCTGCTCCAGCCCCTGCTTCGTGCCACACAGTCTCCACTAGATTCACTCCAGCAGGAGCCACATCGCCTTCCCTCTGCCCTCCCCACAGTGTCCTGCAGAACCCTGGCTCCATGGCAGTTATGTTTCCTACATTCTGTTGGACTGCATGAAGCTGGGGTAGGGAGGAGAATGCATGGAGGGTAGAGGATAATTCATGCAGAACACCCAGGAAGGGGCAAATGCTAGCATTACCTAGGATGCCATCTTCAAGACCATGTCATTCAATGCCTCCCTCACATGCATGCCGTATTTGGGCTCTCTTGAGAGAAGCCTGTTGAGTTTACTATTATCCTCCTGTTCTTCACTGGTGATGGGGAGCTCAGTACCTACTGAGGCATGTGATAATTTAAGAAAATCACTTAGCACAGTACCAAAAGATCTTGGGGGTAGCTGACCTTTTTTGAATGTCTTCTCTGTGCCAGGGATGGTAAGCCTGCACCACAGCCATGAGAAGCATGAACCCTTATTTTCCTGGCTTTGTAGATGAGGAAACTGAGGAATAGCGAGTTATATAAGTTGCCCGAAGTCCCTCAGCTGGTAGTGGCAGAATGCAGAATACATTTCGAAGCCCAGGGTGTGGCATTTGAGAGTAACCCCTCTTGACCACTGTGCTGGTGCTGTCTATGGAAATGTAATGTCAGGACATATGTAATTTAAATTTCCTAGCAGCCACACTAAAAAGGTAAAAAGAAACAGATGGAAAAATGAAATCAACAAAATAAATTTTAAAATAATGCATGTATTTAAAAACCAAATAGCAGGCTGGGGATTTAGCTCAGTGGTTCTGGCACCTGCCTCGCAAGTGCAAGGACCTGAGTTTGAGCCCTGGTACCAAAAAACCACAAACAAATAGCATCATTTTAACATGTAATAAATGTCTGAAAAAAGTTATTCATGAGGTTTTTGACATTCTTTTTTTGCTGCCCAGTCTTGGAGATATGGTGTGTATTCTTTATTTATAGCATGTCTCAATTCTGCCTGTCCACATTTCAAGTGCTCAGCAGCACACGTGGCTAGTGACAACCCTGTCCTACACTACACTCCCTTTCAAGGTGCTTACTATGGACTTCCCTAGTACACAGGAAGAAGCCAATAAATGTCAGTCACTAATACCATTATTCTTATCACTAGATGTTGGTCCAGGGAGAAGCTGGGCTGAGGTTCCAAGCCCTTGGCATATACCATGCCCCGATGTCACTATTCTTAATTCTCCCAGCCAGGAGCTTGGCATCTCCCAGGCTGGGCCAACTCTGTGAACCTTTGGCTTGTGGGTTGAGAAGAGTCAGCTTGACTCTCCAGGAGGGGAGGGAGGCCCATGGAGAGCCCATCTCGCTGGCTGGCCAGCTAGGTAGCACACGGAGCATGGCCTCTGTGGGGGTCTGTAGACTTGTGGACTCTCTGTCCCTGAGTATGTGGGCAGCCAGGGCCATGCCTACAAGGGAGGGGGCAAAGGCCTCACATTCCCAGGCTTCTGCATGCTTTCAGCTGCCTAGGCCTTTAAACAGGAAAACCCAACAAAATTCATCATCTTTTTTTGGTGATTGATCCTAGGGCCTCACACATGCTAGGCAAGTGCTACTCTACCACCGAGCTACATCCCCAGCACTTTCTATTTTTAACTTTGAGATAGGGTCTAAGTTACAGGCTGGCCTCAAACTTTCAAACCTCCTGCCTCAGCCTCCTAAGTAACTGGGATTGTAGGCTCGAACCACCAGAGTCCAGTTTACCCACCACTCCTTTTTTTTTTTTCCAGTGGTGGCAAAGTTTCATATTTATTAAAGGTAGGGAAAAAACCAGAAGGGTAGGGGAAGAACGGGCTCTGCAGAGTGAGTTTGGGGCAAATAAGAAGGGAAGAAAACCCAAAAATAAACATGTGCACTAAAGCCTAGGGTGGGGTATTGTGAAGGGGCACTACAGTCTCACCCACCATTCTTAATACAATTTCTTTTATGAAACTCCATGAATTAATAAGCAGATTAGGATAAGGAGTCTGCACTGTCCTCTTCCCTCTACAGTTTGGGGGGAGCTAATAAATGCCTGCTGAGACCAGTGGTTCCCACCCCATCTGCTCATAGGAATCACTGGGAAGCATTAGAGATGCTGTTGCCTGCATCTTCCCCCAGAGGTTGTGATTTATGTTATCTGAAGGAGGTGCGGTTTCTGGAGCATGTGCTAAATCCTTGGGCGAGTCGAATGTGAGTACACGTTTGGGAACCGTGAGCTCACTTTTGGGGTACATGCTTGGGCAGCCCCCATAGCAGCTGTGCTGCAGGTGTGGCCAGGGTCCCCACTCCAGGGGGAAATGGAGGCTTACTGAGGTGCACGAACTGGCCTGGGTCAGCTAGCCAGGACATGGTGTGGTAGGTGTTCACTGGCCATGCTTTCTGCCAGCGCTGTGCTGATAAATGTGTAATAACTGGCTCTCTAGGGGGAGACAGAAATCTGCCCATTTCCATGGTCTAACTGCTTCTGCCAAAGCCTATTTTTGAGCTACCGACTGACATCCTGGATCAGAATGGGAATAAATGT